AAAAAAAAAATGCATCTCCCGGCAAGAACTCCCGGCAAGATCCTGCCTCTTAGAAAAGTTCCTAATTTTTTCAACAATTTGAGGTCAAATGAAATAAATTAAACTCTTCCTCTCTGTGGCCAATCAGCCTTCAATATTTAAAGAGACAAATCTAGGGTGCCTGGGTGGCTCAGTCCTTAAGCTAAGCGTCTGCCTTTGGCTCAGGTCATGATCCCAGGGTCCTGGGATCGAGCCCCGCATCGGGCTCCCTGCTCAGCGGGAAGCCTGCTTCTCCCTCTTCCACTCCCCCTGCTTGTGTTCCCTCTCTCGCTATCTCTCTCTGTCAAATAAAGATCTTTTATAAATAAATAAATAAATAAATAGACAAAACATACAGTTTCAGGATTTTCATTTCATTTTTTTATCAAATGTTTACTCTACATTAAAGATTATAAAGATTTTCAAATAAAATATTGCTACTGATCTTAAGAAAAATCCATCATGCAGAGCATAATTAATTTTTTTATAAAAAAAATTATCATATCTGGTACCATGACAACTTCAGCAAATCTAGTAATTATGAAATTAATATTAAATGTTAGAATATCAAAATAGAGAAGATAATTATTTTGAATATGCATAAAACCAACCTTACAACCTTAGTCTGATATTTATCATAATTGATTTTGCATCAGTTTAGATACCAGCTCATTTTCCCAGTCCTCCTATCTGTTCCTCACCAGGTTTCTCCAACTACTTCATCAGACCAGGCCTGCCACACTGAGGTTGGAATCACATAAAAGTCTTGAGCCCGAGAAGTGACCTCAGTACCCAAGGGACATTCCTTTTATTTGTGCCTCACGTCTGTCCTCCAGTTAACTTTGACTTTTATTCATTCACTTAAAAATCATTAAAACCCACCATGCTATAGGCCTTGTGCTAGATACTGGAGATATAATGGAAAACAAGAAAAACATGTCCATGACTTCATGAAGGACAGTCCACTGAACAAATAATCTCATAAAATGTTATAATTATAAATTATGATTAATGGTATGAAAGAAAAGTATATGACTCCATGAAAGTGTAACAGGGAGACCTGCCCCCCTTGGAGGCTCAGAAAAAACTTCCCTGAGAAAGTGAAATTTGACTTAAGACCTGAAGGATCATGATGAGGAGAGTTCCAAAGTACAAAGGAAACAGCACTTTTTCAATTCCTAACATGTTGGTTTCACCTTTCCTGAACTTTTATTTCCATCTTTGCTGTCTCTCGGCATTTTTCTCCTGAATTTTATTGTATCTAGCGACCAACTCCAACCCTTCCTATCCCTGTAATAATAACAGCTAATGTTAATATTGAGTTCATATTACTTGGAAGATATCATTCTAAGCAATTTATGTATGTGAACTCATCTAATCCTCACAGTGACCATGAAGTAGGTCACATTTCCTCACTTTACAGATGAAGAATCTGAAGCACAGTCATAAGTTACTTGCCCAAAATTACACAGCTACTGGTACTAGTCCTTGAATGTCCCTCATCTCCCTCATAACCTATCACTCTTACAGAAACCCCACGGCACCAAACTAAACTGGCACTAGTATTTAGGCAAAGAATACCAAGTCTCCTATGCCCTCCAAACTGCTACCATCTTCAACTAGGCAGATCATGCTTTTTCTCTGGTTTTCAAGAAATTATGAATGAAACATTGACCAAGGTGGCCTACACTAAAACATCTCCAAGGAAAAAAAATTTTTTAGAATAAGTAATATTCTTATAAAAAGTTATTCACCAGATTATGAAATAATGAAAACTGGGCTAGGAGAAAGAATTATAATTTATTCAATTCCTTCTGTACCTCCCAAGGAAGAGGAAGATAAGAAAAATTTTTATTTTCTTTTAATCCAAATTTGTAAAACTGTATTTGTTTTGTAACAACATGTAAAAATCATGTTTTGTAAAACATATATTTGCAAAACTAAATTAATATCCACTAAATTGGTTATGATGTAGAAGCAATTCCCAAAATTATTTTCTTTGATAAGCAACTTTTAAATGATAAAAAAAAAAGAAATAACCATTAGATGACCAAGGCCTCATCGAAAACTACATTTAGATATTTTTTAAAATTCTTGTTATGATCAAAAGTTTCATTTGTAAATTCACCATTGAAGGTGATATGAAAAACAGTAATTAAGTGGGTGATTGATACAAGTGAGTGTATGACTCATAGTTTGCAAAGGAAAATAATTTTGGGGAAAAGGCTCAGGAAGAAAAGAAGCAAATAATGGATTCTGGAAGAAATCAAGACCTTTCCTGTCCAAGTACTGTCACCAGTTTTTATTACTGGAAGATTAAGGGAATAGTGAATAAAGCTGTCTGCCAGACAGCAGAAAAGGTAAGAAATAACATTGTCTCTAAATGTACCTCACATGAAAGTTTTCAGAAAGAACATTTATAAAATTAAACTTTCTATAAAAAGTTACTAGAAAACCCAACTCGAATCAGAACAATGGAAATGTCAAAATAAACCAACATTATATTTGTCAGAAACTTGAACAAAATGAAACGTCAGGATAGGTCGTTGTAAAATCGTCTAATTTTATTCCACCTGGTTTTAGAACAAAGGCAGATCCAATGCTAATTTATAGGAGATTTTGTAGGGCTTGGTTTGTTTTTGTTTGGCTCTTTTTCTACTTCAAGGTTAATGTTAAGATAAATATTTAGTTTTTGCTACTAGGGTTCAAAAAATTTATACAATGAGCTTTAGTTTCTGGTTCCAGAGGTCAAATTCAAGCCACTGAATTCAAATTGTTCCACTTTTTTACTAATTGTCCCTCCCCTCTCATATATATCTCAATTACATCATATATATATTTATATGTACTTTTCTTTTTAGGCTCACATTTAGGTATGGGTATTAATTGTTATCCATGCATTATGAATCTTTATAGAAAATGAAGAGAATTTCATTTTAATTAAGTTATATTTAACAAGAAGTTTTATCCAATTTAGTATTTTATTTACATTTTCATGTATATTTTAGAGTCCTTACTACATGACAACACTGAGCTAGATGTACACATAATCTAATTTAAGAATACTGGGCTTATCTTGTTATATATATATATACTGCCTACAGATAAGGTAAACGAATATTTTTGTGATGAAGCAACCTAAGTCATATCACTGACAGCTTTCATATGAGCAACATCCAGCCATTCCAGCATACTTATGCATATAGCTTAGAACTTAGTTCATGAAAACTGTCTGATCCGGCTTAAAGAAGTCTCAAAAAAAAATTAAAGGCTGTGTATGTCCGTGTATGCACACAAATGTGTGTTAGATGACTGACTCAAACCTAGGCAGTCCAATTATAAAATCTTTGCTCTTGACCACTAAGCCACTATATCCTGGAAAAGAAGAAAGGTGCGACTTTTAGAATGAAAATAACTGATTTAGGTAATAATAGTACTTCTAAAATAAGAAACCATATTTCTGAAGTCAGTACACTAAGTATCAGCATTAAGTTATAAAAACACACTTGATGAAAATTTGCTATGATAATGATTTTTTTTTCCTTTTGTAAATGTGCTTAATTTCCAGAAAATTTCTAGCTTTGTCTTTTGGGATATTATATCACCTAACATTTCTGTAATCTCTTTATAGAGTTTAAAGCATTTTTGTATCTAAAACTTTATATAATCCTGCCAGCAACACTAAATAAGGCAAGTATGATGGTTAATTGGATATGTCAACTTTGCTGGGCCACAGTGCCCAGATATTTCGTCAAACATTATTGTATATGTTTCTGTGAAAGTTTTCTTTTTTAGATGAGATTAAAATTTGAATTACTATACTGAGTAAAGCAGATTACCCTCCATAATGTGGGTGGGCCCCATCCAATTAGTGAAAAGCCTTTATGGAACAAAGACTGACCTCCTTGGAACAAGAAGGAGTTCTGCCAGCAGATTGCTTTTGGCCTCAAACTGCAATTCTTAGCTTGGTCTCCAGCCTGCCAGCCTACTGTGCACATTTTGGACTTACCACCTCTCTTTGAGATTCAATTCCTTGAAATCAATCATTCAATCTCTGCTCCTCCCCGTATGTGTGTATGTGTGTATACACATATGTATACACACATACACATACACACACACACACACACACACACACACACGTATCCTGTTGGTTCTCTGAAGAACTCTGAATCAGAGAGCAAGGTAGTTAAAAAGTAACAAAACAAGGAACAGGAATTCAGATCCTCACTTTTGTCTCTAGTCATTCCTGAAAAGATACCAAAATTACCAAGAATCTATGCTAGAACTCAGTTTTCATATCCAAACCACTCAGACAATGTCATGTTCTTTTTCTTTTAAAACTATTATTTGACAAAACTAATCAACTCTGGAAAACGCTATGGCAGATCCTCAAAAAGTTAAGCATAGTCACCCATATGACCCAGCAATTCCACTCCTAGGTATATACCCGAGAAGTTAAAACATATGTCCACACAAAAACTTGTACATGAATGTTCATAACAGCATTATTCATAGCAGCCAAAAAGTAGAAACACAATTGCCATCAATTGGTGAATGCGTAATGAGGATGTCCATAAATGCCGTAGTTCAGGGAAAAAAGAAATGAAGTACAGACACATGCTACAACTTGGATGAATCTTGAAAACATGCTAAGTAATACAAAGCAAATGCAAAAGTGCACATATAATATGAAGCCATTTATATGAAATGGCCAGATTAGGAAACTCCACACAGACAAAAAATAAAGATTAATAGTTGTCAGGGGCAAGAGGAAGGGGGTCAATGCAGAGTGAATGCTAATGGAATATAGGAATCCCTATTGGAGTGATGAAATGCTCCTGAATTAGATAGTAATGATTGTAAAACCTTGTGAATATACTAAAAACCACTGAATTGTACACTTTAAAATTGTAAATATTAAGAAAAGTGAATATCTCAATTTGAAAAGTGTTAAAAAACAGTAACACTAATCAACTTACCTGGCCTTTTTGTGGTGCCAAACAACGAACAACTTCATCCACCATTACCGGAATATGTAATTTAGTCATGGCTTCAAAATCTCTATCTTGAGATCTGTGTATCTCCTGAGTTCCAGTTTGATCTGTTTGCATCTGGGCTTCATATTCATTATATCTTTGTGTTGTATCATGTATTTTTTTTGGCCAGACACCTAAATTAAATATGCCAGATTCCAACCAGCATGAAAGAAATTCTTTATAGATCCTACAAAAATATGGGTATCGAAGCATTCTGTAGGTCAACAAATCTAGAAAAAAAATTAAAAATATCATGATTGTTGATTTTTAAAATACATAATTTTATATAACTTTTTAATATGGCCTGATAAGCTCTAAAACCATTAACATTTTAATGATCAGGAATATAAAAATTGATTATTAAGTCATCATTTTTTGGAAATATACTTTTCTAACTTTAATTAACTAAAGAATGGATTCAGTGCATTAGAATTATTTATTTGGAAAAGTTATCTGGCGGGGGGGGCTGGGGGATGGGGTAACAAGGTGATAGGCATTAAGGAGGGAATGTGATGTATTGAGCACTTGTGAGCAGTTGTGATGTATATACAACTGATGAATCAATGAACTCTACCTCTGAAACTAATAATACACTATATGTTAATTAACTGAATTTAAATTTAAAAATAGCTATCTGGATGATTAAAGGGATTACGAATATTATCCTATTTCAGGTTCAGGCGGTCTTTTATTTTAAGCTCTTCTATTTGTTTTTCTCATGTTAAAGCTTCATCTTCAGTTTAACTTTGTTTGAAAAATTGTCCCTGGAAAAAGATATGCATGTTTATCCAAAAAGAAATGAAGGTAAAAATCAGTTTGTAAAAATCTTGCAGACCGGTTATGAATATTCTCTGACGAGATTATCTCACCATGGCCTCTATCAGTAAAGCATGTTCCAATTTAAATTATAACTTTATAAACACTCAACTGAGCATACTTTGGCATGCTTTGTGTGTCCCCTGCCCCCCCCAAAACAAGCAAATAATTAATACATTCCTTAACTTTCTCATGCTTGTTCTTGATTCTACAATCTGTAACTGTTTCAAATGCAGAGGAAAAAGTATTTATGAAATATAGTAACAGAAAACCTTTTGGAAACACTATGCTTTTTATATATTAGATTTTAAGCAATGTTTTTAATACTACTACAGTAAATACCAAGTTAACACTCTTCTTCCTTCCTTATAGATTAGTTATTTAAGAATAAGACCCACATCTTTATATCCACAAAAGCAGATGCACACTAGGTGCTTCATAAGTGTTTTCTGAAGGGAAAAAAAAAAATGAATGGATGGATGGGCAAACTCTAGATTCTACAGAATATTTTTATCAAAACTTACTTTAGGAAATTTCACCTGCCTGACTGTACCAAAAACCACATTCTCAAAATGCTTCAAGAAACATAAATATCTCCCCCACCAAAAAAAGAAACATAAATATCCTGCTTAAATATGCTTTCCCTTCCTTTTGCAATAGAAATGAAAAATGTTGAAAAGTTGATCACATGTAATGACTAGAAAAGAAATACATTTATATTATATAAATATAATATATAAACCAACAAAATGTTACCTTAAGGAAATGCCAACTTTACCTAAGACATAATCCACAGAATTATGTGGCAAATGTGACACAGGAAAAATATAGGGAAAAAAAAGACTGGAAGTGTTTAAATATTTTGGATGTTCACTGGTGACAAGTTAGCCAAATTATTAATTGTGCCTCGTGTTTTTCAGAAAGCTTATACAAAGTAAACCCAACTACCCTCTAACCTAGTGTTTGTAACATTTTTCAAAATAAAAGTTAACATTTACTGGACACTTACCAAACACTACTAAACTCATTCAATCCTTATCACACCTCCTAGAGGTAGGTAGTATTATTTCTATTTTACAGATGAGGAAAACAGAGAAGTAATTTGCCAAAAGGTCATATACCTAGAGAGCTATAAGGCTAGAACTGTAATTCCAACATTCTATCCCCAGAGCCTAAATCTTATCTTAGCCTCTATGCTACAAACATAGACTACTGGCTCTGTTTAATGCACCCATGTAATTGAATGGTACTTTAATTACATTGACTATATATTTGTACTATCTCATGAATTAGATTCTTTTTCTGTAAAGAACCAATATCCTATTACTTGGTCCTACTCCATTTGGAAATACAGTGTAACAGGGACATGCAATGTATAGGCGTAAATAGTGGAATGTGGAATATTTAAGCAGTCTACACTGTGTGTCCAGATATAAATATGTGAATCAATTCCAATACAGGAATCAAAACCACATAGGAAAAAGCAAGTAGAACAGATGGGGGGGGGGAATGCTTCTTTTGCTAGCATTTAACTCTTTTCTTCTGCATTCAATTTCTATGTATTTACTCAACTTTGTTCCAGGTACAAAGCTTAAAGATTTTATTATGCACCAACTGGCTAGTAACGTGGGTCAACATGGAGAAACGATTTCAATAATTTTCCTCTTTGGTTGTTTCCTGAATACCTCCCTAAGAATGGAAAGGGGCAAGCTCTATATTAGGGAGTTCCATCCCTTTAGGCAGCCCGGTCTCCTACCAGATAACCCAGAGCACTCCTGCAGCTGGCTCCGAACCGAGCACCCTAAATGATTTAAGTAGTTTAAGTTTCCTCCGGTCACAAGAAAGAAGCGGGGAGTCGGGAAACCTGACCGCTAGAGCCAACTCCGTGGTTTCCCTAGGTAAATCATTTAACTTTGCCAGCAAAGTTCAGTTTAAGCTGTTGAATCCAGGGAACTGGCCAGGTTACCCTTTCAATTGTGGGAACACGAAGGTGAGTGATACCTTTCAAAGCTACTTCCTCAACGGTGCTACCAATTACCATCACTGCACTTAGCCTTCCCTCCAGAGAAAACCGTTTGGAAAATTTAATTCCTAAGGCCAAAAACCCAGCCTGGAAGCTGGCAGCCGAGTGCACAGAAAGTGAAAGAGGTTCTAAAGTTAAGGAAGAATGCATCCTTTTGCTTAAGAATTATACTCGGAAGAAGGAAAACTGTTTACAAACTTCTGAGCTCAGATGAATGAGAGTTGAGGAGAGGAAGCGGGAGCAGGAGCGTGTTTTCTTTGTCCTGGGCGAATCCGGCGACCTCTGGAAGTTCCCCCAAAGGCATGGGGTGGGCTCCAAAAGAGCTCCCGGGTCTCGGCCACCTTCTCCTCACCTGAGGCACGAAGAATTCTCAGTTGGCTTCTAATTCGGGCCAGCGACGACCACTACGGTGCCAGAGAACGTGAATCTGCCGCACGTCTAGGTCCCAACCTTGGGGGAAACTTGCAAGGACGGACAGATTGGCCCCACGTCCGCCCCAACAACACAAAACCGTCTGCCTTTCGTTCCGCTGTTTCCAGGACCCAGCTGACAAAAGGTGTTGCCGGCACTGGGGGTTTCAAATAGTGTTCCTGGAAGGGACAGGAATAAGAACCTACTGCTGCCAGGTTTAAATTTACTTTTACGTGTTTTTTGTTTTGTTTTGTTTTGTTTTGTTTTTAATGTCTGAGTCAAGTTTAAATCTAACTTTCCATTTCATCCTTAATCTCCACTGTTTGGTTTATTATGAAGCTATGTTAAATTTCTGTGTTCTATTATAACACAGCCATTAGTTATACTCCAATTTCTAACAAAAGGTGGGAATTTCTGTCTCCTTCAGCACTACATGTTTTTAAGATTTTGGTTCTTTTTCCTTCATTTCGTTCCAAAATACACCAGTCTCTTATACTTTGTTATATTCCTTAATGTTTCGCCAAACTAAACAGAAGACAGCTGGCACAGCGATGGCATTGATTTTAACATTAAAGGTTCTTTGCTTTAACTATACTGTTAGGAATATGGACCTCATCATCTGAACGTGCTAAAGGGCAAGTGTAAGAATTTAAAGTTAAATGTAAAATAAGCACTTAGATTAGGTGTGGAAACACCTGTTACCAAGCCTTACAATGTGGGTGTCAAAAAAGATATCTAAAACACTTCTTATTCACCATCAATGCAATTTTACAAGAAATTGGCTTTTAAAAAATGCCTGTTTTCATAATAGACTAAGAAAGCATCTTAATATCACTTAATTTAGAAAGTATTTCTGAGACAAAGTCCTCAATTCTGAATTGGCTGGTTTGTACAGTTAATAATAATTTAGGGATTTTCTGAAAACTTCAGTTTTTTTTCTTCAGTAAAATAAATTGTGCCTACATCTCATGGACTTTTTTGAGAATTAAATGAAATAACATATATAAGTTAACAAAATGCCTGGGACACCAATGGTAAAGTACTATAGAGTGAGTGCATATTTTAAATAAAATAAAAAGGCTTCTCAATTTTATTACCAAACCCAGCACCACACAAATAACTATTGCATTAGTTAAGATATATGTAATATAGCCAGCAATTAGTGTCTTTATTGATGCTCTATCCAGAGTTCAGAAACAATCATATAACATGAATCATATACAATACAGTGCTTCTGATTTTCTTCAATAGGAAATAAATGTCCATATTACGGAGGTTTTCATATATTATTTCACTTGTAATACTCCGCAATGTGTTGTGCCATCCTATTTATTATGGGGATAAGCTTCATGTAAGAATATAAACTCCAAGAGGGCAGGGATTTTTACTTATGGTATTATGTCCCAAAAGTCTACAATCAGAAATTGCTGAATGAATACAATAATGTTAATATAAAGAATAACAATGACATTCAGATCACACTATTCAAAATATCCTGACAAAGATGGCTTAGCAAACATTTCCCATTTTTTTCTGGTATTTTTTTCTTATTAAAGCATACATTCTGAAATATCTACAATCTAAGACTTACAAAACCACTGCATCCAATAATGAACTAGGACAATAAATTTAAATGAATTTATTTTGTAAAGTCATCATCAGAAAGAAAGGTAAAAACAACAAAACACCAAATAGTTTCAGTCAGCAATAAAGGGAGTAGGCCTGGGAGTACTGAGAAATGAAGACTGGGGCCTCAAACCAAAAGCCCTGGACTTTCAATTAATTGAAACACTGATCCCAGTTCGATCCAGTGAAAGTGGCTAAAAGGAACAGGTCCCTACACCTACCAGAGCATGGGACCCGCACCTTGGAGGCCTCACTACTAAATAAAGAAAAGAATATAAACATTCAGAACCCATTCACCCACACCCAATAGGCTCCACCTCTCCCACAAGCAGACGGCACAAGCCAACCCCTGCCCTCTCCCGTCTCACTCACACCCTGAACCCTGGGACGCGGCCATGCGCCCGCGGGTCTGGAGGTGGCCTGATGATCCCAGATGGCTACCTCCCACCGGCAGCTGAGGTCTAGCCCCGCCCACCTCGGCCGACGCCTCCGGAAACAGCCGTGCGCGTTGCCCTGGCGACGCGCAGCAAGGCCACGAGCTGCGCGGCTGAGACTCCTGGCGCCAAGCGGCAGCGCGCCACGGCAACGTCCGACGTGATGGCGTAACGAAGACGGCAGCCAATGAAACGCGGTGCTGAAAAAGCTGGCTTGGGTTTGAATCTTGTGGCTGAGTTTGAATCGTGGAGAGGCGGCCGTCGTAGTGAAGTGTCGTGGTAATCTTTGCTGGACCTGAGGTGAGTGAGAGGCACGCGAGGAGAAACCTCTCGTCTCCAGACGCTTCTTTTGTTGACCTATCTCGCTGGAAGCGGAAGGCTTCTGGGGCCGCCTGAGGAGTAGAGGACGGGATGGGCTTGTTGACAAATGCGGAAGGGTTAAGTAGTGGGTGTGTGTGTGCGGGGGTGAGGGTAGTTAGGGTCCCTGGGGAGAAAGTGAAAGGAAGAAGGAACTCGAGAACCCGCTAGAGCAGAACTCTGCCTGATCAGGAGCCCTTGACTGCTCATCAGGAAGGGCAGAAATCTACTGCCTTAAATCCTGAGGAAGTCGGACGTTTTAAAAGGCATCCTGGCCCCTTTCCCAGACTGGCAGAGCACTTTCATTGCCCTGCACCTTACAGTGTAAAGTTCATTCCGCACTCCTAATCAGAGTGTTTTGTTTCAGATACAGATGTAAATGTAACTCTGGGCTTAACTATCGAATAAGGAGTTTTGCTTCTCCAACTTAAAAACTTTTTGTCCTGCAAGGTTCTGCTGTGAGCCTGGCAAAGTTCGGTCAGGAACCTCCTCTGAGTCCCAGTTGTAGCATCAAGACAAGACTTGCCAGCACTGCCTAGCGGGATTGCCAAGAATGGTATGGAAGCGATACTGCTTGGCAAAGTGCTTTGCGAATGAAAGGTCCTCTTGAACCTTGAGAATAAGCCTTTATACTGTCTGTTCTTAGTTTCTGCAAGACTCTTTTAGGAGCTCATTAGGCACTCAGTTAACAGAGATCAAGGCTAACTGCTGTTTATGAAAAGAAGTTACTTGACCGGAATTCAATAATTTTGTTGTATAATACATAGTTTAGGTTAAAAAAAAAAAAGCTATTAACTATCAAGTAGAATGTATTAAGCATTCTACAGGTTTTAGTTGGTAGTTGTTATTCTACTACCTTCAGCACTCCGCCTTGGATTTTGGAAAGTATTTATGAACTTTGGCGCTAGAGAATATAAGAACCAAAGGCAAGATAGTGTCTGTTACTAAGTTTCTGTTACCTTGTAAGAATTCTCTGTTTCAGTAAACAAAGATTATCTTGCCTTCAACAGTAATAAATTAATCTCTTCTGTTACTGAACAAGTATTTGAAGTACATAAAATTTTCACTTTAAAAGTGCATCTTGTCAAAGTGCACTGATACCTTGAATCGATGAAGGTACCCAACAAAATCACGTTTGTGCTGTCAACTCTATGAAATGTAGGAGGAAAAAAATAGCCGAGATGTTAGTGCCGCCCTTCACTGCATTTGAAATTTCTTTCTTAATGTGATGTTTTTAACTAGTAGAAGCACTGGCTCTAACACTAAAGTTAGTTCCAAGGACAGGTGTAAGTTGCATAGAGACAATAAAAGGTAGTGTGTGGAGGATAGTTCCTGCTCCTAAAAAGTGTTTGTTGAACCTGAATCTAATTCAGATTTAAGCTTGAATTTAAGAAATAATTTAGAATTGTATGACTCCACATTCAAAATAATTCATGCAGCATTTCTGTTCCTTTGTTTGAAAATATTCTGTTCTTATTCCAGTGGAGCGTTGTTCTTCAGGAACATGGGCTTTGGATTTAGACCTGAGTCTACATTCTGGCTCCTCACTTACTAGTTATGTCATCTTGGAAAAATTACTTATCCTAAACTAACTGTCTGTTTTTGTAAAATGGAGACTATTATAGAATATACCGTATATGATTATTTAAGGATTGAAAGAGATGATGAATGGTAACTGGGTTTTGTTTTGTTTTGTTTTTTAAAGATTTTATTTATTTGACAGAGACATAGCGAGAGAAGGAACACAAGCAGGGGGAGCGGGAAAGGGAGAAACAGGCTTCCCGCTGAGCAGGGAGCCCGATGTGGGCTCGATCCCAGGACCCCAGGATCATGACCCAAGCCGAAGGCAGACGCTTAACGACTGAGCCACCCAGGCGCCCCAAGATGTTTACCATAATGTCTGACATACACAGCATGCTCAAATGATAATCGTTTTTGTTCATTAGTAGTAGTTATGACCTTATTGACCTAATTTAAGAGTTCTCAATTAATAGTGTATTTGCTGAGAATAGATAACTGTTTGATATCCCACAAGCAGAGAGAAATCATACTTTCACTTTTATTTCAATATTCATTCAAGAGCTCCTCTCCTGGGCCCTGAAGTTTTTATCAAAAATAGGCAAATATATATTTTTAACTTCTATGAGAACATTTCTGGAGACTATATATTTACAACCAAAAGAGTAGTGATTTAAATACTTCAGCTTTACATCCAGTTAGTCTGAGTTCAAATCCCATGTCTTGTGCTTCCAATAGTGTGACTTTAGCCAATTAACTTAATCTATATTGTAGTTATCCCTCTGTAAAATAGAAATGATTATAAATGCCTATATCATAGGATTGTTATGGGGATTAAATAAGAAGTATGTAAATTGCTTAGCAATTTCTATTTGTATACTAAGTGTTCATTAGAAAGTATTCTATAAATACAACATTATTAAATGAAGGATTGTACTTACGGTAAATTTTAATACTTTTTTGTTTTGTTTTTGAAAGGAAAATAACTAGTCTTGTTTAA